CCCCGCCGGGGGACATGGCGCACCGCCGCACCGACCCGGCCCAGCCGTGCAACTTCGTAGCGCGGGACAACTGCTGGTAACGGCCCCAGCCCTCCCCTCACAGCCGGCGGCCCCGGGCCTCCTCTGTTGCTTCTCTCCGGCCACCTCCTTCTCCGGCCGCCTCCTTGCCCTCCCGCCCGAGGCAGCCGGTCCCCGGCAGCTCCGCGCTTAGCGCCCGCTTTCAGGCGGGTGGAGGCTGAAGGAATTTGTTCGTACGTTCACTTCACGTGTGTTTGTAAAGTGTGTGTGCTCGTTCAGAAGCTGCCAATCTGCAAAAAGCTCAAGGCTTTTGGTACCCTCAGGTGGCAGAGCCCTGAGTTGGACAGGCAAAGCAGCGAGCGACAGACTCGAAGCAGCCAGCGCTGCCCATGTACTTCAGTGTTTCCCTCCATTCTCCCTCTGGGTGTGAGGAACCGGGAGCAGGGCCGGGGCAGAGCGGGGGACAAAGGGTCATTTCATCAGTCAACAGTAAATGAAAGTATATATGAAAGGACATTGGTGCTTACTTTTCAAGTTTTTCAAAAAATGTGTCATAGCAAATTTGACCTCCAATTCCTAACATAAACGTAATTCGCAAGGAAGTGCATTCACACCTACTGTTTCATTTCCAACCTATGGAAAATATTGCCCCATTACCTCCAAGACAGGCAATTGTTAACTCATACATAAACGTGCTGTTTTGAGGTAAAGGTCTAAAGATTCATGCTAAAGTGCTCTGCTTTGTGACTTTAGTAATTGGGTTTGCATTGGGTTTTTTTTAATGAAAACTTTCAAAAAGTTATCTTAAATATTTCTTTGTTTCAGGAAAAAATACACTGAAAGTGAACTAGAAGCTGCAAGAAGATGGTGTCAGAAATGGGGATTCTTGAAAACTCCCCTTGAGGAGGTAAAATTGAATGGCATGTAAGCAACACGTACTACTTACTTGTACACAAATGTATCTGGACACAGAATTATGAGAGCACAGAACACTAGAAAAATACTGAGCTAGGTTCCGAGGTAACAAGTGCACTACTTTTAAGATGGGTTCAAAGTTTCAGTTTTCCTCTGAATAAAATACGGCAAGTGGTAATTTATATGCTATGCATATTCTGATATATTTCTTTTGAGAAACATGACTCCCAATAGTGTTAACAAGTACTAGATGCACACTGACAGGAAAGTATTTCCCCTTTGTCTATCCATATGGTAGTTTAAAAATCAAGGGGAAAAGGTTCTAGCTAATTAAATTTTCAGTGGGGGAATTTACAACAAACGAAAATATTTGGAGAGATGTCTATTCTCAATGATGTTTAGATAATAGAATATAGTAGCACATAATGTTACATTTGGAATCACTGTATTTTGTTGCTAAAGAACAGGATTGACGCAGCCCCTGAATAGTTATAAATGTACTTTCCATGGGGCTAGAAGTACTTAATCTGTTCTAGGATTTTTTGAAAATTCCTGCAGGCATCCAAGTTAGCACCTTTGAAAACTTTGGTCCTCTAGGTGTCAACATCCATCCTTGATAACTACGGTCTGTCATGCATACCACCTTAGTACAGTACTAATAGATCTACAGCTGAAAAGTTGACAAACTATGCATTGTTACTATTGGTGAACATGTGTATTTAGCATTTATTAATCTTTGTTTTGTGGTCATATAAGACATATATAAGATACAGTTCTAGCCCTTTTTGGACCAGTGATGTAGTTAAGAGAGTTGGAATCACTCAGCAATATTTAGCCTTTCATCTGAAATTCAGAATCACTTTCTGAGATCAAAAAGTATGTTACTATAATTTCCAAAGCACTACAATAAGTAAACCTGTTTTAGATGGAAAGAACAGGAAGTTCAGATGCAACAATGAGGGCAATGGTGTAGATATCAGATATTACAGCATATTTCAAAAGATAGAGAGTCCAATTTTTAAAGTTGATGTTTTGGTTTTAGTTGATTGAAGATGAAAAGAAAGAAAATACAAAGCCCAAGATACAGCTTCCAGAACATCTGCGGGTTCGACCTGTGACACCTGTGGAAAAATACATTAAGGTTAGAAAATTAGATTTGAAAATTGCAATACAGCAATATCTGTCTTAAGAAACCACACAAGCTCTAAAAACCAGTTGTAGAGGTGGGCCTTTAACTAAAGGTCAAAGTAGATTGTATTTGCAACCCGAGCAATGCTTTAAAAGCGTTCACGTAAGACAAGGAATTGCCCTTTGGATATGGTTGTTAGTTCACAGAGCTTTCACTGTACATAATTATCTTTGTGTAAAGCACTCCTCTGTGATATCTAGGAACAGAACAGTCAACTGTACAGCTTAGTACAGAACAGTGGTCACAGAGCCATTTATGACTGCTGAACATTCATTGCTCAAATACACGTATACATGTCTTACTTCAAGGCTTATCATAACCTTAACTCTCAGTTTTAACTATTGGTTAAGATGCAGACATTTTTCTAGCTTTATTTAAGACAGTCTTCTTTTTGGCAGAGACAATGCCTCTGTCCTCTTTAGTGGCATAAATTAGATTAGCCAGAAGAAGCCAGTTCTAATGAGCCAATTCATAACTATTTGATTTTATATTATATGATTTATATTCACAGATTCAGACAGATTCAAACAGCTGGAAATCAGAGTGGAATGTGACTGATGGTTAGATTTATAAATATACAGTGTCAGATCACCAATGAATAGGATAACTATACAGGCAGCTAAATCAGTGACATTGGGTGAGGAACATATTCATAACAGGGGAAGCAGAATATGCTAACAAAAAGCAAGGTTAGTCCACTTAGAGAAGATTAAGGAAACAAAAGAGATTGGAAATTCCTACTTGCTGAACTAGCTTTCTTTCAAAGGATTCCAAGGGTGGGGAGATAAGGTGAGGAAATAGTGAAAGCTCTTACTGAAATTAAATTGAAACAAAAATTAAGAGCTAGTGCTGAGTGTGGCAGAGAAATGAAATGGCAGCGTTTCTGCCATTAGTGCTACTTGTTCTTCAGTTTTGTCTCAACCCTCCAATTTCAGTCAAGTTTACCTCTGCTTCAGCACAGTGAGGGTGTATGTGTGTTAACAAATCAGGCAGACAGTTATCAGCTGCTAAAGTAGCATGCATAGCCTGGTGCATACTGAAACAGGGATCATAGTTTCAATTTCACCTCAGAATCTTTATTTGCTAAGGAAGGTAAGGGTTAGCTGTGATTTAGGACACCCTTTACATATTCAGAGTGAAGTTTCTTAAGTCCTTATTCAGAACTATATGTCTTTCTGCACACTTACCTTCATGGTAACAGTCATATCTGTTCTTCTCTCTAGGTTAGATTAATAATTGCTTCTTCATAGTCCCTTCCCCCAGATCGTAAGTGGGACATGATTTCCTTCATTATCCTGCTCAGTGGGTGGCACTTTTGGCCATAAAAATTATCTTTTCAGAGGAACTGCTCCACCTAAATATCATAAACATTTTCTAATCTTGGCCAAAGAACAAAGTGAAGCAACTCTGGCAAGAGAACTGAAACATTGTTCTCTTGCTGTGTATTTCTCTGCTAAGTCCCCAGATGCTAAAATGATATAACGTGCCCAATTGAGATGATTCAGCCAAAGTAAGCACAGCAGTCAGTGAACAGAGGCTGTTGGCTTTTGTTTTGTTTCCTTTTTAGCTAGATTAGTTGCAGATAGCTTGATGCTTACCCATCTTTTAAAGTAGAAAGAAAGTGGAACGAGTAAGTAGTTCTTGATGCAAAAGCCAGCTTGGTCAGTAATATGTTTAGCATTTGGCCACAAAACTATTATTCCGTAGCTGCATTGCTACCAAATACATTACAGCAAGTATAAAATGCTATTTCTCCTGTTTAGAGAAGTTAGTTTTAAAGATTATTATTATTATTCTGTAAGGAAAAAAGCTAAAGCTGAAAATAAAATTCTTCTCCTAATAATGTAAAGCCCTTAGAAAGGTATTGAGCAAAACTTTAAAAAAAAAAATGCCAATATACACTACTAAAAAATAACTTTGCTTTTTGATTGCCTCTTATACATACCAATTTAGGCACTAAAAGATTTTTTTTTTTTTTAGAAGAGTGGTAAATGAAAGTTAGTTACTTCATTGGAATTTGGCCATTTTACTTCTCTCTGTCTCTGTGCCTTGCTATAGAATGGGACCTAAATTATTCTAATGACTTTTTAAATTATAAACTATCCTATATTATAAATCAAACTTGCATGCAACTGGGCTATCTTTCGAAGTTCTTATTTCTTCCACTAATGTCAGTGTGTGTTCAGGATATTAATTCATCAGATTGCATTTAAAACCACTATTTCTAATAAATTCTCATTTCCATCCACATTACAGCACAAAAAAGGATGTTGCATGACAGAAATTACAATCAAAAACCTTTTAATCATTGAATTCTACATGTTACTTTTATTCTAGGTGATTCCATCTCCTCCAGTACCTAAGACTACCCAGGGATTTATTGGCTGGAGATCAGCTGTTCCAGGGTTGGAACTTGAACGTGGTTTTCAAATCCAAAGCTGCAAAGGTACCTTTTTTAAGGATTTGAAGTGGCCATGTGAGCCCTCTGACTGACATTAAAAAGTAACAGTTAGGCACATAGATCCATTTGCATCCCTAAGTTAATATTATGTAGCGGACTGTTGGACTGTTAAACCTTTATCCTTTAAAAACGATTTATGTAAACATCCACAATCATTTTGGTGAAGTGCGAACATTTTCATGTAGCATTTTACTTGTTACTGATTTTTTGAAATCTATGGCATCCAAGCTGTTAACTTCAGGTTTACTTAGAAGTAACAATGAATAAACTCATATAAGGATCACAGAGGAGGTACTACTTTTATTAGCATTAGTAAGACTATGATTTTAAAATATTTATTGGAAGTCTTTAAAAAACTGATTTTGTAATGACAGAGCACATTTTTACAATTGTTTCTCCATGAAAGCCTCCATTCAGTTTCACAGGAGCTTTTTCAAATATAAATACAGACTGCCATGTTCCTGACAATCCTACCCTGCTGCTCATTCCCAATTCATCACTTACCAGTATTGGAATCTGTGTTTAGAGTTAGTTTTCAATCAGCACTCTGAACTGGCCCACTATTGAGTTGCTCAAGTGCCTGTGCTAGCACAAAAACATCTCTTTTGTACAGAAAGAGAATGAGAAGAGGCAGAGAAGAGTAACTCAGGCTACCATGGAACTGCATCCTTGCATTTGAAAAGAAGCTTTCCTCATTAAAAAACAAAACACAACAAACAAACAAACAAAAAACACCTGCAGAAGAGATAATTATCAGGCTTCATCATAGCGTGTCCACTGCAACTTGAAAAAAACAGGCAAATCATAAGTATAGTTAAGTCATAATTATTAAATGCATTGTCTTTTGTGTTGTGCGTGCTTTACAGGTAGTTTGTGTAGTTACACACATAAGTAACCAAGTAGTTCCCAGTGCAGCTGCTTGATTGGTATAAATGAAGTATACAAAGGCCACAGTGACACAAAGTCACTTTCAAAAATCAGTTTTGGTATCAAAACAGGGTTTTTTTTCAATTAGTTGATCAGAATGCAAATGTGTTACAAAGTATTTATGTTGCTTCAGTTTTGTTTATACCAATATTTATACCAACCAGGAGTGGTGACAGACTCAGAAACAGTACGGGATTGCGCTGGGAGCAACTGGTGTAGCTACCTCAGTGCTATGGAATTCGGTCTTGCACTTCATTACCTACCTGGAGATTTGCCAGGACTTTTGGAAACTCAGAAGGAGACTCATTTAGTTGTAGCAACTATTTGCAGGATATACTTCTAATTGGCTAACATGTTTAAACTACAAGATTGTTTAAACAAATAACAGCCTCCAAGAAATCAACACAGGCAGCTCCTTGTAACTCCTTATTACTTAAAGAGAAAAGACTTTCCTCTTTAATCCTGCTGCAAGATCTCCTTTGTATTCCGCAGCTATCAATATCTACTTCTTGAGTCAGCAGTAAGTCCTTGGCTTTCATAGCAGTAGGTCAGCAGCTAGTGTTTGTTCTTCCCGTCTTCCCAAGAAATGACTCACAATGATCAACATCCCACCTATTTTTTTTTACATCCAGTTCCAAATGCCCACAAAATAATAATATTTTACTTTTTCCATATTCTTTACAAATAATGGAGAAGTGACTCATATCCTTTGGAAAGATTACCCAAGAATGAGAATACATAGCAGAAGTAACTTCAGACACATTACTTAAAAACCAGAATAAAGAATAACTTGGAATCAGACTGGAAATTTAAGCTAAATTGCAGCTTAGCTACTAACTCTAACATGTGTAAACTGTTCTTTGAACAAGCAAGGTAATTGTAAGAACAATATTTTAAATCGGTGTGCTTTCTTGTCATTGCTAGGTTTGTATCTATTTTAATCACATGGTTCTTCAGTTTATTTTAAGGTCACATATATATCCTCTTATTCTTGTCTGATTTATATAAACAAGTATAGTAAAGATTAATATGTAATTTAGTAGCAACAAAATCACATTAATTCAGGCCAAATGAAAGGGGAGCTTTAAGACCACTGTTTTTTAAAAAATGTTATGTTAAAAAACCAAAGCTGGCACCTAATATCCAGTAGATGTTTGTATGAAGTGAAATCCAAATCCGTATGAGTCATGGTTTGATTTTGAAAACCAAAATGAATTCTTTGTCCAGCATCTACAGTTGGACATTTCTGAATCTTATTCGCAGTGTCTGAATATTAACTCTGTACTAACAGTAAGGGGTTTTTATTATACTTTTCCATCATTTAAGGTACCTTTACTTCAGGAGATACTTTGACATAGCCTAATTTGGGGTGTGTAAGGAGTATTGTCTAAAATTTGAACTCATTCCTCTAGCATAAATCTGTCAGTTGTTAATGGATCCATGTAGTTGGGGTTTTGTATTCAAGAATATGTGAAACTATAAACCTGACTATTTCTTTTCCCAACACTTTTAGTTTGACCCTTTATACCTGAAAAAATTGTGTAGAAGTTGTGGATTTGTCCTGACAAAGGACTGCCCAGTCGACTGCCCGGTCAACTGCCCCAATTGTGAATCCACAAGGCCGATACAGAATTATTAAATCGCCTTGTAATGTTTCAAACCTGGCATTTAATTTGCGGAAATTAACCTATTTATTGGAGCCAAGTTGGGCACATAAATGTCACTGCACAGCGTAAAATATCACACCGTCTCCAAGGTCAGGACAGTGTTAGTAAACTCAGTGCACACACTGGGGAAATGCTTCAAAACAAAATTAAATCAGTTCAAAAATGCAGCAAAAGTCAAGACAATTTTAATTCTATATAAAAGTCTTAGACCTCTGCTTCTCTGCAAGTCAGAGCAGAATGGGATGTTTCTAAACATATATAAAAAGTTATGCAGTTTATTTTTAACCAAAATTTGAAAACAAGATGCAAGTGTATTTACATGTCTTCTATGCTTCAATCTAAATTTCATTTGGTTTAGTCTTTTGTAAAGCTTTTGGTGGTCTAAGGTCCATGTTAGCAAAGTGGTATGCATATCAATTCCTCCTTAGTTGACTAAAATTTTTCAGAAAAGTGAAGCCATCCTGTCTTTTGACTGGTGTTTTCAGATAAACTAGTTCTTTGTTAATAGGCTCATTTTAAAAAAGAACTACAGATGATGCTTTCAGAATTGCATATGCAAAAATTTTACTGTATTTGATACACAGTCATCACAGCAAGATTTGAAAATAGGTCAGCCATACATCTTTTGCCACCATGGATGTGTGCCTGCATATACTTTCCTGGGTGCATGATGAAATAATAGTAGAGGCTTAAATGACAGTTGTATTTAAGTTGAAGAACTATGAAATCAGAATTATCTTTCTCACAAGCACTTGCTTTATAAACAAAATTGGGTGACAAAAACCTGGTGCGTTTTCCTTCACAATGTGTTCTTTTCTGTGCTGTTAGAACTGGCACAGAACTGGCACTTGCTTTTTATAATTTTATTAATATAAGATATTTTATCAGGAGCTCAGAGTTGAAAGATTATTATTTATTTAAAATGCATTTTGCATCAGAGAATAAAGATTTTTTATTAGATGATAGTGAAATGGTGATTCTGAATAAGTAGCGCTTCTCAAATTGCAGTCACCATACAAATGTTGCTGTACATTATGAAAGAAGCAAAATGAAAAGCAACCACAGCATGTGCATAGCCAATTGATCTAGCTACTGTAAAAGGTGGCTGCTTAGAGAATAAATCTAATCACTATTCTGCATGAGAAATTTCTACAAAGTTACATGCTGTGACTATCCTAATGGATTACCCACTGCAGTCATAAGTTTGTGCAAAAATTACTGTCCCCGGTTCCTGCTATTGGCTACTCTGTCAGCCTGAAGTAACTTTAATTCTGAGATTGTTTGCCTTACGAAACAGAGGAGGTAGATTTTTTTTTTTTCTTTTCAGAGACTTAAGGATCCCCATTCACACACATAATTTCCCCCCTTAGTGAAGGATTCTTTGTGGTTTCTTCCACATTCTACAAAGTACCAAAGCAACGAACACTAGTCTAACATAGTCGCTGGCAACCAGACCAGGAATCTGCACTCCCATGTGAAGCCCAACCCAGGTCACTTCTTGCATTAGATTCCTAAATGTGTTGTATTTAGCTTCCCTTGAAACCATAAGTGTCAGTGTAGCAAGACAGATAAGGTCCACTCACAGACTATTACCTTCTTCCTGACTCCTGTGGTTTTCACATCCCATCAAATTGTTATTTAACTAGTTGAAAGCATGTCAAACCATTTCATAGGACCATAGTGTAATAAATGTAACTGTACTGGAAAATGATACCATTGTGCTGTGAAACTGATCAGGTTCCCAGTGAACAAAGCATTGCCCTTTCAGTCTGCTCGATCATACATGGAAAAGATCAGCAGTATTAAGAAATAAATTCAAAACAAAACCAGAAACTTTGTGAAAACAACACAAATCTGATTCATGTTGCACCAGTGAAACAAAACACTGGAAAGGGTCGTTATTTTTGTCAGATGAATTGGAGATAATTTTGACCTTAGGGTTTCAGGCTGCTCACACAAGTCTCAAGACTTGCTCTGTTACACAGAGAACAGTTCAAAGAGATTAAAAGAATGCTCTTTCCTGTATGCCTCAGTGGTGGATTTATTTCCATAAAGGTTTCCAATTGGAAATTCTCTGATATAACCTGAAGAGTACCACAGGGCAGCTTTTCATCTCAGTGCCAAAAGATGTAGTGTTGCCACCTTTGAAGTAAGACACACTTATCAGTCTGAGCACTGGGTTTTACAGGCTCTGACAGAGTATGAAATATCCAAAACCATCCCAGGATGGTGGTAAGCCACTGGATGTCAAGCACAAGGCTTACAGAGGAGCTGGAGGTTGTGTTCATGAAGAGTGCTCTGAAGCATCTGCATTTCCTCTGCACCATCCATGAACAGCCATGGCTTCAGCTGGCCACCACGCAATGCTGTAGCTTAGGGACGGCCTCTCAGCATTTAGGGAGGCAGTTCACCAGATGTTCAGAGAAAAAGGATAAGAT